TATATTATTATCATAAAACAACAATCAACAAGTCCAAACGATTATCCAAAAACCTTTTCAATATTTTTTCTCTTTTTAAATAACAACCTGGGAGTGGCTTATATTAACAATAGCTTGGGAGTGACTTATATCAATCATACATATTATTCAATCAACCATCATATAAACAATAACAAAATTACTACTAATATTACTTCCAATCAACTACTATCATCACGTATCATCAGCTATCAAGAATCTATATCATCAACACTATTATATATTTTAGAGAGTAGCCTGGCCATTCAGAAAGCATATCAATATATGCTTCATAGGAGTGGAACTACCAGAGTAATGTGTCCAATAGACCTCCTTTATTTTATAATTAGTTTTTATTACATTTATACTTGTTTAACATATTTTCTTTTTCATTTCATTTTCGTTTTACTTTCTATTCATTATATCTTATCGAAATTTTCTAAGTAAGTAAGCATAACTGCTACTCTCAGCTATATTTAGCATACAATATTGTTTTAAAATTTCTTTTTCGATATTAGCTAGGTATAGATAGTGTAGGCAAGCTAGTATTAAACTTGCTGCTATTGCATGTAAGAGATGTTGTTTCTTTCATGATGTATACTTTTAAATATACAAATTAAATAAAGAAATGATGTTTACCTACCGGAAAAAAAAAAATAATTATTACATATATACATTTGTAAAAAAATTTATTATACATATAAAGATAAGATATATGTATTGTTAAATTGAAATTAGAAAAAATATATATTAAGAAAAAGTGGATATTTAAAAAGAATATACTTTGAGAGGTTTTTCTGTATATGACAAAAATTTTGATTAATAGAATAAATATTCTATTTAAACATAACAAATATCATATAAATAGAGAATGCACTATTCATTATTTAATTTTCAGGACCAAGTTTATAACTTATATTTCAAGTCATGAATTTTTTAAAACATATCATTTGCCTCTTTCCTAAATCTTTTTTTACAATTTACTCTTGACTAGTCAGTTCGAAATATAATTATTTCTTTTACCCATGTGTGAAAAATATAATCGTGATTATATACAGTATACAGTTCTGGTAAAGTTTGTGGACGTAGATGTTGATGTTCTGAAGATTGTTATGTCTAAAAAACACATTCCTTGCAAAATTTGTGGTAAGCCTAATGCTGCTGTATCTGGAACATGTATAAAAACACGCTGGTGGATTTTATGTTTTGCAATTTTATATTTGCCAGCTCAGCAAGAATGCCACTTCTTCACCTAATCATTATAGAAATTAATTGTTATCAAAGTTAAGATTTCGGAGAATTCAACTAAACAAGAAAACAATATAGATTTCTAAACATTTAAAGGACGGCTAAAGATATAATAACTATACATATAATTAATATAAAACTTGTAGGTTTTACGTGTTTTTTAATCAAGGAAGCAAGTTTTTAATCGCTTCGCTTTGCTAAGAAAACAAAATTATAGTTTTTGAGTTTTTAGAGGCAGGTTAAAAAAAGAAAAAAAACCAGCTTATAGAGCATATTCCTGGGTATTGATTTTTGATATACTGTATATTAAAATTGCTATCGATTTTAATTTAATGATTTGATTTTAGTGAAAAACATTTGTAGACTCAAGGTATAAAAAAAAACACGAATAATTATACTTACAAAAAAAGTCTGTTCGCGATCCCTGCTGCTTATTAATCAATGATCTTGAAAATTCACCTACTTTGTATACTGTAAGTATACAGTTAGCTAGAAATAATTGAATAACTCATTGTATGGAACTACCGCACATTTATAACTTCAAAAAAATAATCTAAATAAAGAAATTAATTTAACCGTATACTGTATGTTTTTTATATTCAAATTCGGGAATTCAATTAAACCGCATGCAAAAATTAGATCGTAAAATCCCAATTTCCCTATTTATGGTAGCGTTTTGAAATAAGCGATCGCGACTTATTTTTTTGCAATAGTTAGTAAGCTTTTGATGCACAAAACTTAACCACCTTAAAGATAGTGCTATCTTTATATTGCCATATAATAACCTTTTTTCGGAGATTTCTTATCATTTATCTTGTCGACGAATCGGACATGTTCCTTGTTTGACACAAAACTTTTTTTGATATCACTAATCCTAAAGATTAATATTGACGAAATAATATAAAATCAAATAAATATATTTCATTTCTTTTTTTTTGTTAATCCTATCCTGTAAATTCGTGTTGCATGACTTAATCTCTACTACAAAAGATTGATTTTTCAACAATGTTAGATAGATTAAATGACACAGTAGCCAAGTCAGTCTTTGGGCGGTACTTCAAACTTGCAAACAGTGGTGCCTCCAAAGCCCGCGATACCAAATTTACCACTGAGCTTCGTGCTGGGTTAGCCACCTTTGTCACCATGGCCTACATTATATCTGTTAATGCGATTATTATTACCGACTCGGGTATGGAAAGTGCAAATTCACCTCTCTTTGATATTTGCACGTGAAAAAACAACAACCAATTCTCAATGTCGAAAGGTTTTTTTTCCTTAAAGGTGGTCCGTGCATTTGTACACCAGCCGCTAATGCGACAGGCCCTGCGGCAGTATGTGTCGGAAACCCAGTTTATGAAGCATGTCTATCAACAGTTAAGAGAGATTTGATTACCGCGACGGCCGCGGCTTCGTGCTTAGCAACTGCTGCTATGGGAATTTTTGCGAATTTGCCGTTAGGGCTCGCTCCAGGGTAAATAAAAATGGATCGTAATGCGATTGTTAACTAAAGATTAACCATAATAACTTTAATTGAAGGATGGGCGCAAACGCCTACTTCGCATATACGGTAGTTGGCTTTCATGGCACCGGAAAAATTTCATACGAAACAGCTACTGCTGCCATATTCATGGAAGGACTTATATTTGTTGTCCTCACAATATTTGGAATACGTCAATGGCTTGCAAAGATTATCCCTAATTCCATAAAGATTGCAACTGGTGCTGGTATTGGTCTCTTCCTTTGTTTTATTGGATTGCAAAGAAGTGCCGGGATTGGTCTGGTAGCCTACGACTCTGCTACATTTGTCACGCTCGGAGGTTGTCCAGAACAGTACTTGGATCAAAATGGATCATGTACATCCCACCACATGGAGAATCCGACGACTTGGTTAGGGATTTTGGGATTTCTAATAATTTCTATCATGTTACTTTACAGGGTTAAGGGAAGTGTATTGTGGGGAATTCTTTTTGTTAGTGTCGTAAGTTGGTTTAGAAACAGTGAAGTCACTTATTTTCCTGAAACGTGAGTGACAATAAGTTTGTGCTATTTCGATTATATTTCATTTAATGAACTATTCTTTACATCTTTTTCGACAGCACTCAAGGAAACAGTCGATACGACTTTTTTAGAAAGGTTGTCAGTTTCCATCCGATTGAAAAGTAAGGATTGTTTAGAGTTCAAAGTTACACGATATAAGCGCATAAACAAGCTCATTGTATTTAGGACATTAGGGGCAATGCATTTTGACTACGATAACAGGGATGTATGGGTCGCCTTAATAACATTCCTTTATGTGGACATATTAGACACAACTGGTACATTATATTCAATGGCAAAATTTAGTGGATTTATGGACGAAACTGGTGATTTCGAAGGGTCAACTGCGGCATTTATATGTGACGCGTCATCAATCTCGGTCGGTGCAGTTTTTGGCACATCACCTGTTACCGCATTTATTGAGTCTGGAGCAGGGATTACGGAAGGTGGGCGGACGGGGATCACTGCACTTACGATATCGGCATTCTTTTTCATATCTCTGTTCTTTGCACCAATTTTTGCCAGCATTCCACCGTGGGCCACGGGCCCCGCCTTGGTGATTATTGGATCTATGATGGCAAAAAGCATTAAAGATGTCAATTGGGAATATATAGGTGATTCGATACCCAGTTTTTTGTGAGTATTAGTTAGGTGTGAGGTTTGCCTCTTTATATGATATCTTAAATTAATTATTATTGGTGATTATAGGACCATTGCGATCATGCCATTAACGTATAGCATTGCCTACGGTCTTATCGCCGGCATTAGTTCTTATATCATTATCAACACCTTTGCGTGGTTATTGGAAAAGGTATCAGGAGGATACATAAAACACGATAGATCGTTTAAAGAACCATGGGGAGAATTTATGGTTGGACCCGGTGGCGAAGGAATGCTTCCGCCATGGCTTGTTGGAGTCACATATAAGATACGAGGGATAGAAAGAAAGACAGAGGTACATGAGAACAACAATAAAACAGAGAAAGATGAAGTGACTGTTAATGTTGAAGAAAGCAATAATACTGTAGAATGAAATGTCACTTTCTATTTTAACATGTAATATATTTCTACTATGGAACTGAATTTTGTATTATTTAATGAAACGAATTAATTAAAAAAATAAATTTTAATCCGAGATTTTGGTTTTACATGTCTCAATAAACAATAAAACGCGTTATTGCCCATTACCAATTTTATCCCAATCGCGTAACCTTAAATTTGCTGAGAATAAACTCCATTTTAAAAATCAAAGAAAACTCAAATAAGAAAATAGAAAATACAGTACCAATTAGTTACATATTTAGAAACAAGTATAACGAGGTAGTAAAATTTGCGAAATTTGGTGTTTTGAATTCGTACCACGTAAAACCTTTAATTCATAACATCCATTGAGAGAGAACATAATAAACATTCGTGCAATATAATACCAATAGAATGTCGATAGGAACGAGAACGGATTAAATAAATATGTCAATCTCTTATCGTCAGTTCGTATAAGTTTGAACCCAATGTGAAACAAATATGCCAAGGATAATTATAAAGCCAGAATTTCTGCATACACCATTTCTTTAATAAACAGTAAGGACATATAATAGTAATGATCGCTCAATAGGTAATAATAAAATAAATTAGTCTGAGACATAGTATTTACACATATAAATGAAAGTCGTTGCAACCGTTTTATTAATGATCGAGAAATGAAATTTACAAACATCTTTGGTGTGTTAGTCACACTCATCGTAATCCTTTTTGTTGCTGTGCCAGTAAATGCATGCGAAGAACCATGCCGAGTTGGAGTTTCAAAAGCCTTCGTCGATAACTGGAAAACCGAAATTTTACCCATCTTCAAAATTTTTTCAGTAAATTCCACTTTCGATTTATATAATAATACATTGTTAAATAATGTAACCACAGATGTAAAACTTCTTGGTAAAGTCCTAAGCGATATATATGAACACACACAACAGAGTATTTCTGGTTTATCCGATATCTTTATTCCAACACTTCCCGCAATTATTGAAGACGCTATCTTTAATGTAGAACCCAGATTCAAGGGTGACTGTAATAATCCTAAACGCGTCACCCAACCTCAACCAGGTGTCAACTGGACGTTACAGGACTGTGCAAATATGGATTACATTTGCGGTAATCCTCCATCGATATGCCATTTTCTAGATGTCGCAAAGAATAAAAGTAAAAATGCCATTGTGAATGCTCTGACCACACTTTCCTCAGCGACTGGAACTTTTCTTACAACAGTTGTTGATGAAGTTAAAGCCGTTGCTAGTGGAAATGGGCTTCCCTCCAGTGGTACAGATTATCTTGTCACAATGGTCACTACCAATCTACAACATTGGTTTAATATATTACCGGCTACGTTTGAATCTGCATTTTGTCCTAATAGTTGTCCTCAATATGACCAAGACATAAAGTTATTATTACTATCATACCCTTAACTATTTGAATCGTTCGCTATATCAGATTCTTTTGTTTTATTTGCTCAGTCTCTCTTAGCCTCTGGTCAGGTATTCGTTGAGCTTATATCAACATCTTCCCTTATAAAAAGTATAATATTTCTTCGTAGTATATTTTTAAACCAAATAATTCGTGATCATTAATTTTGATTTATTGGGACGAGAAAGTATTAGACGACAAAGACATTAAACAAATGTCACTTAATAAACTTTGGTTTGTTTAAATAGCAAAAATCATTATATTATCTTGTTTTGTACATTTCATAATTTTACCAAAATTTTGTGATTGTAGTTACTAATCATTCTCAATTTTTCTAATGTTTTTTTTCTTGAAATAAGGTAACAAAATGCTAATAAGATTTTTCGGTCCTTATTAAATAACATATACACAATGCTTGAATAATTACACATATATATTCAAGCTTTAATCCATTTTAAATACAAACAGTCTGGTTCAAAAAAATAGAATTAAATTTTTATTTTATTTAAATTTAATAATTAAAATTATGTAAAATATTTTTTTGATTGTCTTTCAGGAATAAGTAACTGTCAGAATAATCTATTATCGAATTGGAATAGGATCTTTATATTATTAATGTGATCAAAGGAACATTATCACATGTCTAATGACACAAAGTAATACAAATAAAAAGCATTGCAATTGGAATACAATGATTCAAACTATATCACTCTAAGACATTTGAAACTTGAAATATTAAAGGAAAACTATTTTTTTAAGATGTTTAAATTATACAAACAATGTAATATATGATATTTAAAATCAGATTAAATCAAAAATAATTATTTATAGCTGATAAAATATCAATAAGAACATTATTATTAATCTTATTTGACTTATTTGAATTAGAAAAATATTTTTATAAATAGTTTAATATTGTATTTATAATTGTATTAATTATTGTTTATTATTTGTTTTTTTTGAAAGGGTTTTTTCAATAGATAAAGTATTATTTCTTTATTTAATATTATATATAACAAGATATATATTGTTGTAGGAAAAAATAATGAGTAGATAATAGGAAATTATAAGGATAAGTATATCAGGTATAAGTGATATATCAGGTATAATAGGTATAATAGATATAAAGTAAAAATGTATATAAGTGATCTGAGAATTGTTAAAAAGTAAGAATCAGAATAGGTACTGTATAACTGTTAAATAAAAACCATCTTTATTTGATAAACTATTGTCTTGTAACTGATTCCAGTGTCATATAGCTAAAGAAATTACTATGCATAAAGTAACCAGTTGGGACACAAGATCAATAGAATAATCTGTATTAGTATTATGAACTCTAGCCAAATTCACATGTCTTTTTTGAGCAAAAACTATTCCAATTATTATATAGCATAAGATAGATTAAAGTAACCAACTCGTAATTTCATTACAACAATATATGTACTATTTTAGCTTTTCTTTTTAACTTTCTCTTAATATATTTTTTATTAGTAATAGAATTTAATATATAATAACAATATTAATAATGCTATAGTATATTAGTCTTAATATAAGATTTCTAAGTATAAGATCAATAATAATAAACTAATATAAAAAAAAAATCTAATATAGTTTAACAATATGTAAAATAATTTATAGGTAGTAATTTTTTATAATATATATAAAAAATATATATATATTAAATTAAATTATATTAAATAGAATCTAGTTAGTCAAGTTAAAAAATATATATAATTAATAGTAAGATATGAAATATATAGTAATTAAAATAACTTTTTTTCATATATAATATTTTTTTCATCTTTTAGTATTTAAAAGTTTTTTATACTTCTTTTATTTTTATTACAAGAAATTTAAGAAAATTAAAGAAGTACATTGATATATTTAAATATAATCTTTGATCAAAAAAAAAAAGCAAGTTTGAGATTTTTGCTTTTTTTTTTTAATTATATAAGAAAAAACTTATAACAGTTACTTCTTTATAAACTTTTCTTAAGATTTCTCTTATTTTTATTTATTTTTTTTTAAGTATATAAATATTATTTCTTTATTTGATAGACCTGTAGATCTATAATATAGTGGTTAATACTCCACAGGTCAAATCACAAGATACCAGTTCAACTCCATGTGAGGGTGATTGAATAGGAATTAATATGGTATCTGGCACCATAACCTGTATAAGCGCTATTTCTCATAAGAAGCCGTTTCACATGCTGATTCAAGTGGGCGTTGAGATTGTGATTTCCAGAAAAGGCGTCGTGGCATAACGATTATCTGGTTGATGTTATGATGATCGCCAGAAGTTGCAAGGAGTATGAGGTATCCACTTTCGGTAAAAGATAGCTTGGTGATCATTCCCCCGTGGTATCTGATGTCTCTTCCTACAGGATAACCGGAAAGGTCCTATTCCAATCCAGTAATAAATTATTCTGACAGTTACTTATCCCGAGAAGGTGGCTCAACAGTAAGACTGCTAGGTAACCTTGTGGATATCTAAATGGGCAGTAAGACCTGATGACATAAGTTTCTTGGATGTTCTTGGGTAGCTTGAGGAAGGGTGGAAATTAAATGGAAAAAGGTGTGTCCAGCTGCAGGTGGTCGGATCTGGAAAGATTAAATTGTAGGGTTCTATTTACCAAATATAGGTACTACCCCCAGTGCCCCCAAAATTTCAAATTCCCCTTAATTTCACACAGTGTCAAATAGAACATTTAGTTACACCGATAGGATGTATTGCAGTAAGACTTGAGTTGGCAATACATATAGGTAGATTGCATCCAGATGGTATACCTGTGGATGAATTCCAATTGTAACAATTGTTAAGTGTGGACAGAAATGTACAATGTATATTATTTACAGCACAATTAATAAATTAGAGTAAAGCTTACTTGCAATACAAAAAAAAAAAAATTATTTCTTTATTTGATTTATATATGACAGGATATACATCATAAAAGAAACAATATCTCTTATGTATTGGTACAATAAATTAAATGCTAGCTTGTCTACAGTAACCATGTGACTAATATTAAAAAAAATTTAAAACAATATATTTTGCCAGATGGCATCAAGTAGCTATGAATACCTATTCAGTATTAGGAGAAATATATAGTAATTAAAATTAATAAATAAGGTTGTTATATTATAAATACATTTGTAATAGCTATATTTAGATTGAATAAATAAGTTAGCAACAATGAAAAGTAAATTGATAATAGTCTTTTTATAAGTTATTGTTAGATTTGTTTTTGGCTTGTGAAATGTTTTTGGTTTTTGGATTAATAGAATTGATTAAATTATGATATTTGATGTAATTTCACTTAATTCCAGTAAGAGATAAGGTATTGGCTGTAAAGTAATATAGTTTTCAAATTAGATCATATAATAAAATTAAGAATTCTATTACTGTTTTAATTCAATTAACAGGAATTGAGATAGAAAATATTTTATCTATGACTTCACATGACAGATTGATGACTTGCTATATATGTAAGATTGATTTATAATTGTTGTCTAAATAGAAAATTTGATTAACAGTTTGGATAATTTGTTCAGCTGCTTGTAAGGCTTCGGTATATTTAAAAACATATTAAATGTCTTTGATATGAAACTCACATCTTGGATAGAAGATATCTGGATATTGGTTAGAGCATAATTGATAAAGTATAAGATGAATTGAAAGAGTTTCTGAGAACTGTTTGATTTTAAAGGTTACTAAGATACTGTATTTGTTGTTGTGAAGTTTTCTAATATTTTTATTAAATTGGTTGATGACTTTTAGATCATATGGAGTATGTATTTATCCAAATGTTTAAACAATTAAGAAGCTTTTATATATCATGTAGTCTCTAGTGATACTAAAAATTTTCTTGCATCATCTAATACTACTATTCAGGCAGATATTGTTAATTAGAGAATTTTCAAAAAAATATAGCAAAGGATTGTTTTATTGGATAGTTCTGATTAATGCTGATCTAGATTTATATTTGGTATATATAATATTTATAGATTTTTGTTGTATATATTGATTTATTCATTGAGTTAATAAGAAAAAGTTAATTTTAACCATTCTTCTTGGATATTTAGATACTGGTTGAAAATTTTTTTTGTTGTTTCTAATTTCTATAGTGGAGTAAACTGGAATTTCTTAAATGATATTAAAAATTGCCAATAGAATGTTATCTGATGACAAGTAGAAGTTAAATAGTTTTACTTCAATTTCATTTATTAATAGACTATTCTTGTGGAATTAATATGATAATGTTGTTACAGACTAAGGTTTTATAGTAATGCTTGAGAAAAATAATTGACTGAAATATTAATTTCTTAAAGAATATGTTTATTATTTGATAGTGAATTGATAACTTCATTGAATATATTAAATAAATAATATTTGAATCTGTTAGGAAGATTAAAAAAAATCCATGATATGTGGAAGCAGATATGTTTATAAATGGTATTTAATAGAAGCTATGGGATAATATATTGATTAAACAGCCTAAACATCTAAAAAGGTTATTGTTAGAATTTATAATAAAATATTTTTCTTTAAATAGTATTCTTCTATCTATAAAAATATATATTTTGTGAGTTTTGACAACTACATTGATATTGTATAAGAATTAGAATGTCATTTTAGGATTTGGTATTAGGCCATAGGTTCTAGGCAGGTTTTTGATATTTGCAAATATTTTAAATCAATTGAACTTCAGATCCAAGCAAATTATTCTTATATGTATGGCAAGTTGTAACCAGAAAAGTTTAATGATATCATTGTATTTCTGTAATTGATTAATAAACTTTATATTGAGAGTATTAGTTATATTGATTACTGTCTTTTAAGTTGGGATTACATATTAGTAAATAAAAACCAATTGAGTTCTCTATATTGTCAAGATAAAATAGACATTCTATTGAACAGATTTGAATTTTGAGATTATTGGTTAATTTTGTAGTATAGAGGATTCAATTTTTCTAATTGAATTTCTCTGGATCACAAATA